AATTGGCTGCTAACTGCTTTAGTTAAATTTGGTACAGTTTTCTTCTGCAGGGAAGCAATATTGACATTTGTGCCCAAGGATGCTGGTATAATTTAGAAGCATTAGTCATGTACCTTATATATAAAATGTTGCTAAAAGAAAAGGGAGAATTAATCTATCCTCCCTCTGCAATGTAGATTGTGTACAAATCAGCAGAGGAGGTTTAGAGTAGATGCTTGGAAAGAAAGCTTTCTAGCAGGGAGAATGGTGAAGCAGAGCACCTGTGAGACCTGCAGAAGAAGCTACATCAAGGAATGACAATTTTTTGATTTGTAGACCCTTTCTACAAATGTTCCCATGGAGAATACGCTTCACAGTCAAATTTGCCAACAATAAACTTGCCTTTTGAAGTTCCTAACCCCTAAACATCCCAATCCCTGAACCACAAAAGCCACTGGCACAGGTTTTCTATGCCTTAGCATCTCCTTTGAAATGATGATAAGTGGGGGCAGGTGCTCAGCCCAAAGGCTCAGTAAACAGCCACAGCATCAGGCTGAGCTGAGCCATAGTGCTCTCATGTAAGTTTTGTTGAAGCAGAATTTGGCTTAAATGGCTTGTGAGTAATACAGAGAACTGTGTGAGAACTGACAGGGAACCTGGCTGTGTTGATGCTTTAACCCATAAAATTTTGTCCTGAGGAACTGTTGTAGTGAAGGAGCTCTAGATCCTGTCTTTGGTAGTAATAAATCAGAATTTTGCATAGAAATCTGCTGGAGTATCAGTGGGATGGGCAGGGGTGTGGGGTAGGATGGTGAGCATGGATGTGAATCTGTAGCCTGAGCATGACAGATCACAAATCATACAGGGGTTGAAATGACAGGGGAAAAAAGCTTGTGAGGTGTGGCCGTAGGTTTGCCCTCACAGAGGGCTTTGAATCCCAAACAGAAACACATTGACATTGTGCTGCAAAAACAGCAGGATGGTTGTTCCAGTCTGGAAGCCTTTTCACTATAGGAAGTACAGCCATGCTTCCTTTTCTCTGATTTGCCTTCATTTCCCTTGGGTTTTTATATTTTGTTACTGGCTTGGTATCTTCCCTATCCATCAGTCCAGTGCATCCCATTAAGCAGCTTTTCTTGATTGACTAATGAGATGCTAAATTTAGCAATGCTTTTATCACTGTCTTTTATTCCTCAACTCCATTTCCTACATTTCACTCATTTCACTTGCTATTCTTCAGTGGTTACTCTGTTGTTACTGTATTTACTGCTGTATGCCCATCACCTGACTGGCATTTCTTCCATCAATTGCTACTCATCTCTCCTGTCATTTCCTTGCCAACTCCTTCCCAGTTCTCCTCCCCCTCCTATTTCATTCAGGTTTGCTCTACCATCTTCCCCACCCAGTACATCACTCCCCTCCGAAACCCAAGATCCCCTTTCAAAAGGTAAACAGAGGACAAAAGCATTTCTACCTTAAGAGAGCTGTCCAAGCCAGGCAGGATGAATCCTGCTGGTGGGGTCCTATCTCTGCTCATTAACTGCAGAAGTCTAACTAGGACAGGGCAGATGCTTGACTTGCAGGGAGTGAAGTGTAAGATGAATACCATTCATGTAAGCTACCAGGACTTTAATTCTGAGTGTTAACACAGCTTGTGCTACCGTTGTTACAATGACAGATAGAAAAGTCTTTTAGGAAGCTGTTGGTAAGTCCTATGATTTTTGACAGTTGTTTAACACACAGCTCTAAAGGTATTCAGATTCAACACATTTTTGAATAATTTTTTTGTGTCCCGATGATTAGCAGCATAAAATTCCAGGTGCAAGCTGGCCTTTTAATCCAAATAATAGCTTTCCCCCCATCATACATAAATACAGCCTTCACATATCAGTGTGTTAACTACAGTAATGCTACTCTCAGAAGATTAAAAGAAATATTTCTACTTTCATCTGTCTAGCATATCCCAAGGCTGTGAGGTATTTCAGAATTAGCATAAATACTGGTCTAGATGCGCTCTTTCAGCTTTTACTTAAAGGAATTGCTGTATTCTTGACACCTGCTTATTTCATTCTTCAAAAATGTAACCTGCAAGAATAAAGTCATCCAAGGACAGAAGTAAGAGCTCTGTAAGGGGTTACATCTGACGTGTGGTGGCTTTACTGACAACTCACAGACACTGAGATTGACCCAAGATTATTAGTTTAAAACTTCTTGGGTCATTTCATGCTGGTTTTATGAGGTCAGTGAAATACATTTAATTGACAAGGCTTTCGAAAACACTGTGTATTGTAGTGTATTAATGTAAATCTATCTGGTTCTGCCAGCATAGATGCTGAGGCCACTATTGACCCAGTTCAGAAGTCATGTGTAACCTGGCTCATTTTGTATAGAGCTCCCAAACTTTTACTACGCACACAGGCAGGACATGGGTGCACTGTGCTCTGGCCACTCCCTTGCAGTCAGAGTATGCCTGCCTTTGGCTTGTGGCATTTTGATTTTAGGTACAGACAATTGGCACAGGACAGCCAAAGTACTGCAATTCTGAACACTAATAATTTGTTCAGGTATCCACACCCTCCAGGAAGTATTAATGGCACCATGTGTGTTTATCTTGTGATATTTACTGGTGCAGCATAGTTGGGCAAATGCAGCTTGATGGTGCTGTGTAGATACGCCCAACAGGCTGATTCCCTGTGTCCATGTTTGGATGTTAATGTAAACAGGCTGTTAGCAAAATAAGCAAAAGAGATACGTCATTAAAACCAGAGCTAAAAGATCTTAGTGAGAAGGTTTGGCCAATGTCCATACCCAAATAGCTAATTGCTAACTTTGCATTTACTACATGGAGGAGTGGGAGAGATTGGAAAGTTAAACTTAAGCAGGGAGAACAGTTGCAGGTAAATACATTTATCAATAACCTTAGAAAGATTCATGGCAGCCTCTCACTGGCAATTAACCAGGCAATGGCTCGGAGAGAATCCATATCACAAGAATTCCCTATACTGCCAGCTGAATACATACTCTGCTCTTATGCACTATGGGCTGCTGCTATTGAGTGAAATGTTCTAGCTTGCTGCAACAGGTACTAGGGTAGAGGAGAGGAATTTTTGATAAACAAATCTGAAGATATACAAATAATCAGCAGGAGAGAAGGTGCATATTTTTCTTCTGTGTGTGCCTACATTTTTGTGGATTTTTAAATATGTATTTTATAGTTTATGTGAAGTAAGTTCTAAGAATCTGCTAATGTTTCTAGCTTAGAAATGTGAACCACGCTGATGTGATGTCTTTGTTTTTTCCTGGCGTGACTCCTACGAGTCTTGATAATATGCATGATAAATCTTTCACCTTGGCAGAGAGAGAGGGAAGTGTTTAATATTTAACCAAGGTTGTCTTTTATTTCAGCATCCATCGATAGGGGACTGTGGTTACAAATATGTAAAACTGTGTTTGTTTTTGCTGAGAAGAGTGCTTGGAAGGAAAAAGGGATAACCTTTCCCCAAGGAGTAAGTTTCAATTACAACAAAAGACAAGACTGTTTTTAGAATAGATCAAATTAAGCCCACATTACATTGAAATAGTTTAATACTTGTTTAAATAGAACAATTTTTAAAGCACAGTAGTTAAAATAGTGGCTTTTGAACCAGTGTGGTTAAGTTGTGCAAGATGCTGTGTCAGTGTACTCTCTTGGTCAAGTTCTCACGCCAGACTGTCTGATTTTCCCAGGGGGAGCAGTGTGTCAGGGTTTGTGTCATATTATCTCCTGTTTACTGGGGAAAATGGACCACTGAACCAGTTATCTGAAGTCACTGAATCACACTCATAATCTTTACGGTTAGAAAAGACCTCCAAGATCGAGTCCAGTCTTTGTCTAAATACCACATCAACTAAACCATAGCACTAAGTGCCATATCCAGTTTATTGAACACTTCTAGGGATGGTCACTCCATCACTTCTCTGGGCAGCCCATTCCAATGCCTGACAAGACTTTCAGTGAAGAATTTTCCTGATGCCAACCTGAACCTTCTCTGGCACAGCCTGAGGCTGTTTCCTAATGGTACCTGGGAGAAGAGGCTGACCCCCACTTGGCTCCACCCCACTTTCAGACAGTTGGGGAGTGATAAGGTCCCCCCGAGCCTCCAGGTTGAGCACCCCCAGCTCCCTCAGCTGCTCCTTACAGGACTCACTTTCTAGACCCTTCACCAGTTTTGCTGCCCTTCTCTGGATATGCCCCTGCACTTCAATGCCCTTCTTGAAGTGACTCCCAGTCATGGACACTTCTTGCTACAGTAATTTTTGCATACCTATGGCTTCTTCTATGCTAGATAAGGACCACACTTCCAGTTTTGCTTTTAGTTAATTTACATCACTGGGAAAAACTGCTGGTGGTGATAATAAACATCCTGCCTGGCCTGCTTTCTGTCCTTCTCAGAAATTTAGCAGAGGTTTTAAAGGGAAAATACAGAAGTTAAAAAGACAAAGGCTTAGCAATCTTTTTTTCATGAATCCTTAATAGATCTGAGCTGCATCTCAGGTCTGCTGCAGGTAGGAAAGAGTTGTGTGTCATAACGTCCTCTATTCAATTCATTTTTAACAAGTCCCAAACTAATTGTACTTGTCCTAGTGAAGTATGTATTAATAATTATATTTTTCTCTCACTGGGTTTCTGTAGTATCTCAGCTATCTACAGACGTAAGCCCACTGCCAGAATGCTGCAGTCTTGCAGAAAAAAAGATCTGCTATGCCTTTGAAAACCCAAACAAGAACAAAACTCCCTGTTTTTTCACAGCTTTAAAAACTCTTGGTATAAAAGATATCACGAATAGGGTGTTTAAAGTAGAATTGAGATGCCTATGGACTACAGAACTGGAGATTTCACAGAAGATGAGTGGGCCCAGGCAGCTCTTGGGCTACAATTGCTTTTGAATGCCCAGCCTTGATGATGGATGCGGGTGTGCAGCAGCGCTCCCAGGAAAGCCGGCTGGGAGCGCCGGCAGTGACGCTGTGCCTGCCTCTTGCAGATGCGGACGACGCGCAAGGTGTCGGTGTGGCCCGTGGGGCTGGTGGGAGGCCGGCGCTACGAGCGCCCGGTCGTGGAGAACGGCAAAGTGGTCGGCTGGTACACGGGCTGGAGAGCTGACAGGCCCTTTGCTATTGACATGGCAGGTGAGGCTCGCTTACGATACATGAATGTTTCCATTTCTCAATTTAAGCAGCTTCTTAAACTGCCGGAGTGCTGGCAGAGTGTACATACAGCCCTTTGGCACTAACTATGCTGGAAGTCTAAGCTTGTACATCTTATCTAATTAATTTGCTGCTTGGTGGTATCTGAACTTACTTTAATTTGTTCTTATTTTTATGTGGCAACTTGGCTTTTATGTTGTGTGAATTGTCTATTTGAAACAAGTTAATTGTAAATTAATTCATCCTAGCAATTCTTGCAAGCAGTCCCTGCCTGTCATTTTGTCATCAGTCTAAACTAGGCGGCATAAATACAGACCTTCTTAAGACTTCATGTTGTAAAATGCTACTTTATCATGAAATTATTCATGTTGCATTGGTTATTTGGAATGACAGAGATAACTGTAGATGGATATAGTTTGAAACACTGGGCTTAGGGGAAATATCACTGACAGCTGTTGCCTGGTAGACGAAGGCAAAAAAGCTTCAAAATGAATCTAATCAATCTTCTGCAGTGAAGTTTGCACACCACACAGCTCTGTCTTACTGACAGTCCATGCTTAGACAATCTTTTGTATACATTCACAACTGCCACACGAATCACCACTGTACACAGGTCCAATTTCTAATATAGCAGAAGCTGGTTTCCCAGAAAATGATATGGTATTTACACTTAGACATCTTCTGTACTCATGAGAGAAGAGAAGTAGGAATACAAGGGCAAGAATAGGGTAGAAATAGCCACTTTTTAAAAATCCTGATAACCCTATGTTTTGAGAGAGGGAAAAGGACAGTTTACAGTTCTTTCTCATCTTAACAGAGTATTATTATATTAATTTAAATTACTGATAAAAATATGTACAGTATTTACAGTCCAAGTGGTTAAAGAGTAAATAAAGGAGAACTAATGGTTGTTATCACCGCAAAGACAAAAAGGTAATCAAGTGAATTTTTCTGCACTGTAGAGACATTTCACATCAATACCACGACCTAGCATAAAAATAAGTATTTGGGTGTTCACATGAAGACATTTCTCAGGGGTGAAGCAGGTATTCAATGCTCAAAACGATGCAGTGTGTCAGACACTGCAGCTGTGCAGTTGAACAGTCCCCATGAATTTACAGAAACATATTAATACTGGATTCTAGAAGGGATTACTGATGGCACTATAAAGGTGAGAGTGTGGCTCATAATTCATCAGCAGCAGGCAGAAAGCCATTACACAACATTGGCCAAGGGACTCTAACCTAGACATGAAGGTATACATGGAAAGTTCTTAAGTTGTTTACCTTGCAGATACTGGCTAAATTACTGGCCTGAGGGAAAAGCAGCTCCATTAGGAGCATTCCCTGCTTGTTCTTTGACCAAAGACATGTAAGGGAGGGTCATACAGACAAAACCCCCCCCAAAACTTACAGGAAGTTAATTGCACGCCACAAAGAAAGAGTTACTATTTTGCGAGATAACTTTTAATTAGTCTTCAAAAAATACTGAATTTCATTTTTAATTTCAGCAAGGAAAGAAATAAATGCAGTGTAGACTGCTAAAAAAATGATGTGAAATTTGCATCTTTATTCCCCTCAGGAATACAGACTCAGGGCACAAACAGAACAGAACTGCAAATCCAGAGCTCCATAGGCATCTGAGCAGGTGCAGGCTACAAGATGCATGTCAACATGCAGTTTCCTATCCTCTCCTGACTTCCCAACACACCTCCAGGGATTTGCTACCAAACCTAAGTCCATGCTGTAGTCCATTGTTGGCATTTTTCCATTTTTTCCATACACAAGCAACTTAGGTTATACCGAATGCTGCACATAAGAAACATCAAAGATCTCTTTAAAATATTGCCATGCAAACAGGATAGGTGCATACAGTAATACTGATATGGAGACATATCAGCTGTCTACAGTTAATGTTCTGTGCTCGTGTCCCAGTGCACTGGTGAGGAGCTCCCTTTGGTTTAGTGAATGATCTTTCACAGTGATTATCACAAAAATTTGATCATGACTCTGGGTTTGAACAGAGGGATGGCTTAAAAGGTTTGGGATCACCAATTTAACTTGTGGCTTTTCAGAGGAAGCACATCCTTGACTTTATGCACATAAAATTCTTATTCTAGACAGCAAAATACAAGGCCAAATTCAGGTCCTGCTGATTTCATTGGGCTCAGCTCAATGACCCTAACTGGCCAACCTCCCCAGATTCTTTGAAACACACTTGCTCATGGCAATCACATTACGTCAGTTCATTAAACATTGGTTATTTATTTTGAGAAATTTGTGGCTGATACTGCTATTCTCCAATGCTAAACTGGATTCAGAAAGCAAAGCAATCGTTTCCTGTGTTGCTTCTTGCCTGGCAACCAACACACCGTATGAATTAGTTCTGGTATTTCCAAAGTTCTGCTTCAGTTTTCAATCAAGGCGGGTTCTAGGGTTTGACATTGACTTGCTTACCCTTGGGGAAGAAAAGTGAGAGAGAAGGTAGAAAGCAAAAACTGTGGAAAAAACTCATTTAGTATGGATGTGATTCCAAGTCTTCTATATTAAATGCTGTTTTACTTCTGGCCTGTTCCTAGTGCCAGAATTTTGGATCTCTCAAGAAAATAAGTTAGATTGTGATTCTCCTAATGTGAAAGCTGTTCAAGAAGGCAGATGCTTGCTTTGCATTAGCATTTCAGGAGCTACTTCAGTCACAGAGATGAATATGTGACTGTAAATCACTAGACCAGCAGATTTTGGGTCCAGAGCTCATTAACTGTGCCCTAGGCACCTCTGCTAGGGCCAGAGCAACCACCTTTTTTTATTGTATTTTCTTAAAATTTTGTTATAGTCATGAGATCTTCAGTACATCTCGTATTTCTTAGGGTTCCCTGAGCAAAATGCCAGTCTATTCACAGCACTACAAAACATGGCATATTTTAACTGAATCTGAAAGTGTCCCTGCTGGAAGTCACAAACAAAAAAATTCTAAGTGGTACGGCAGCCAGCACTCAAAACCCCTCCAAAGCCAAAACAAAACACCAACCTCTCCTCCCATCCAAGGATAAATACAGTTTTAAACACTGCGTTTATAATCAAGTGCCTTTTCCATGGTGGATTAATGTCAGCAGATCCATTTGTTCCTAACTACAAAACCTCCTGGTTAGACATCTCTGCCTTACTGCAACCCAAAAAGTACACCACCAGGGAGAACAGAACTTGAAAGCCATAGAACCCAAGCAAAGGTGGGATCTTGATCTATGTGGAAACCAGAACACCTGTTCCAACATCGCCACAGAGCATTAGCATTTATACATTCCAGAAATGATAAACACTCAAGTTTCTAGCTTGCCTTCAGCTACTATCCTATCTAGAACATCCAGGAAGCAAAGGCATTAACCATGACAACAAAATCTTTAAACCCTGGCTAAAATTTAACTGGATGAAGAAAGAGTTCTGCCTTTTAACAGAAGCCATTGATCTAACACAAGTCAAGGTGTGAATTAACAGAAACAGCTTACATTGAAAGAAGAACAGATGTAATATCTGCCATATCTCCCAGGTATCTTGTCCTCCAACAAATTAATTCCTATCTAGGTGGCTCTTCAGCCAATTAGATTTAATTTATAACCTTGTATAAAACACCAAAAAACCCCTGAAACACCTCTTCACACTCCAGCTATGAAATTGTCTTGTGGCATCTCATGTGAAATAAAGCCCAGTAAGACCTTGTAGGAATACTGACTAAGTAAAATAACTGTAGGCATGTAAGCACTGTTCAATTATGCTAGAGAGACAGTAATCCCAGCTAAATCCCTGTTTAGTGATAGAATTCAAAACAACAGTGTCTTTTCATCTATTAGCACAGGATCATTATCTACTGAAAGAAATAATTAGAGCCAGTCTGGTCAAAACTTGAGCTGTCTCTTCTATTTCTGGCATCAATATGATACATATGATAAAGTCAACTTAAAGTTGTCACTAGAAAGTGGTATTCTCTCAAATCCATCTTACAAAATGTCATTTTCACATGTCATTTGAAAATAAAACAATTATAAAGCAGAGCTGAAGAACCTCCTTGAATTATTTTATCTCTTTAAGTTGCTGCTTTACTGGATTCTTTTAACAAACAAAGACTGCATGGACCCTGACCAAGGAAACAAACCTTAGGCTAGTCAGTGCACAGTAGCCTCAGCTCTTCCCAAATGATTACATTTGGCTACCAAGAGCACAGGGATAGAGCCCACCTTTTACTACATCATGGCCAGGCTACAAGGAGTGAGGAGCAAGTCTGCACTGCAGGGTGTGGGTAAGCCCTGTCCATGCAGACACCTATTCTCCACCTCAGGCAGGACAGGATATATAAAGCTACATCAAAAGTTTAATGTATAAATGTTTTCTGTGTCCATCAGTGAACTGGGACATGTTCACACCCAACCCACAGACTTCATCAGGGTCCAAATCCTTACTGAAAACAAACAAACAAACTTCCTGGTGTCTTCCTTTGCTTCCTACAAACAAGACCACGATAAAGTTGTTTCAGTGTGCCTTTCTTAACATGTCATGTAGTAATTACTTCTTTATATTTTCCTCTTCAAAAGGCTCCTGTAATAGTCACAGATACTTTCAAGGAAAACACAGCAGCAAGGCAATTTTACTAAAAGGGACTCAGAATTACATTTAGTTATAGAAAGCTATGCTAAATTTTAAACTGATAAATTTTTAATGGCTTTAGAGTTAAATGTTCTTGGAGTTTTCCAGAACTGATGTCAAAACTGTTACTACATGTGTCATAAAAGGGACAGCTGGAACCACTCTGAACTGATGAAGAAAGGATTTCTTTGGTAGGCTTGGCAATCAGACAAAAGGAATTAGTTACAAATATAATTTTTCTTTACAAGTCTATCAGTTGAGTTTTTGATTCATAGTTAAAGAAGCATACATATGACTGAGCATTGCTGAAGGAAAACAGAAGAGTTCTATAAATAATGGCAAATTAGAGATTCACGGCAGCTTCTTCAGAGAGGATGAGTATGTTCAAACCAGTGATTTCTCAGTTTGCAGTCTTCCTTCAAGGAACCTGATGCATGTTAGTAGAGAAAAGCATTGCAGAGAGGTGTGTACACTGAATAAATCCTTTGAGCCGTGCTGTGCCAGGCTCAGACAAGCTGAGACTGCCTGGCAGACCACTGATGCTGAAAGTCATTCCCAAGGCAGAGCATTAGTATGACTTGTCTTTCCTCAACAAGGCTGTTAAAAATCGAAAGGCTAAAGCTATCTAAATATCAGAGTTGTAACATATTTTAACCTTTTTTCCTGACTCTCACCTTGAAGTGTAGAATGGTTTGTACAGTACGAATTTCATAGATTTTATTTTACTTATAATTGAGTTTTATTTCTTAATTAAAAATAGAAAGGAAGAATAACCCAAGATTTTAGCAATACCTGACTTTCAGGCAAGAGAGCATATATTACCTACATGATGGGACATTAAGATTTAACATGTTGAAAATATGGTGCAATTAAAAAAAAAATCTGATTGTATCTTAAGGGCAAACCAAAACAAAACAATACAATGTAGGATGTACAAACCTACCAAATATTGTATAACCACACAATCAGATTTACACATTTTTAAAAAGAACATGGGAGATTTCTAGACATAAGTATATCTGCACAAAAATGTAAGGCCTAAAGGTTTTTCTCAACCTTTTTTCCTGTCTCCCTCTCTCCAAGGATTTGCTGTGAGTCTTCAAGTGATCCTGTCGCATCCCAAAGCCGTATTCAAGCGTCGTGGTTCTCAACCAGGAATGCAAGAATCTGATTTTCTGAAACAGATAACAACAGTGGAGGAACTGGAGCCAAAAGCAAACAACTGCACAAAGGTACCGATTGCTACACTTTGTGAAAAGCTTTCGTGTCATCTCTGCAGATGATTTACTGACACACATGGTACTTTCTAGGTTCTTGTATGGCACACCCGAACAGAGAAAGTGAATCTAGCTAACGAGCCAAAGTACCACCTGGACACAATCAACATTGAGGTATGACGGGGGGACAGTCCCACGGCAAGGGCAGGACAATGGACGCACCAGCGCGTGTTCCAGTTCAGACAGCTAAACTCATCTGCTTCTGCCTGAGACCTGACAGACTTCTGTGGAAACAAAAGGAAGCTTTCAGAGACTCTAATAAGCAAATCAAGTGGATGTGCTTTGTTCTAACTTGTCTGCATGCATTTCTGAACTCTCAGCTTAATAAACCGACACTTACCTTCGTTTTAATGCTCTTTCACAGATAAACATGGCTGTAATGGAGTATTTTCAAAATTATTATTTATGTATATACTTTTTGTATTTATCCAGCTTAATGGTGCAATTATAAACTGATTTTAACTCACAAACTGTTGGTCTAAATATCTGTATAAATGGATCCTCCATTTACTTCATTAAAAGTAGCAAACAGGTCATACAACAATGAAATAAAAAACCCACAATCATTTATGGATTTATCCTTTTAATATAGGGAAATAACATTTTTATCATTACGAGGCACCATAAAATGTAAACACAATCACTGTCATAAACCTGGATCTCTCTGCAAGACAAAATATATCTGTTCACACTGAGTTACCTTGAATGCATATTGTGGTGTCAGTTCTCTTTTAACACTGTGTGCCTGCCTCCTGAGCCAGGTCAGAGACTTTACCACAGGAAACTCAAATGCATCAAATGCTTATCTTTAAAATAATAAACTATTGATTTGTAGAACTACAGTAACATCCAGGTTTATCTTTCTTTCAATAACCACATTCCCTGTTATGCACACCATAACAACATCACAGTGAAATGTATGATGAAACAAAATTTGTTTGATACACTAGAAAACATTTCTCAGTGATACATTTACATTCTATTTATATATGATTAAACATTTGTTCATACAGTACCTTCTACAGGATTACTGGGTAATTTTGGGGGGTTGGGGTTCATATTTTTGGATATTACTAACATGATAGCTACATCCCTTATATGCAAACATTTGATCTAGAATTTTGAGGGAAAAAATCAGTATGTGGTTAAGCAGCTTCTTAATATGGTCTATGAAATCATATGCATTGTATGAAAATGCTTCCAATGATGTATAAATATATTTGATCTGCTTTTCACTACATCAAATTTAAATCAATATAGACCACAACACGGTCAGTCAGTTATATTCTTAATCTGAACAGCTGGGGAAAAGAAAAAGAATAGATATGTACATGGAAGGAACAGCAAAAGTAAATGTATTTGAACACGGAATGTTAGGTGGCTGTTCTGGGAAAGATTTCTATTGCAACTTTCATTTCCACAGTTGTGTGCTGAGAGTCTGGCCAGAGGAACTTCCAGTCCATCCTGCGGCTGTGCTGGGGGGCTGGCCAAAGCCCATCACGTTGCTGGAACTGCTGAGGTTCATTCCAGCCATTTGCTGATTCATCTGCAAAGCACACACACACGCACAAGCCTGGTTAACACTGGCACTGAATCTCAGCATGCTGCTTGCCAAAAGCAGTCCTGTCTCCAACCATCAACCCAGTTACATTTCCCTTAAAATTTTTTCTCATTAAATAAAAATATTGACTCCATCTTAGTTTCTAAGCTTTTTCTCATACTACCATACATCAGTTGATGGGCTGCAGCACTTGGTGTATGTGTCACATGAGAACTGACAGCATGTGAAAGAGGTGGCCAGTGTGGCTGGTTGGTAAAAGTTTGCTTTCACAGTTTCAAAGATAATGAACAAAACTGTTGTAACTGTGATAAAGAAACAGCAAAGGCAGTAATATAGTCTTGTCTGCACTTGCAGCTCCAGATTTTTTTTCTTCCAGCAACATTTCTTTGGAGACTTCATAATCTTGACTACATCAGTTTTTACAGAAATTGTCCATTTAGGTGACAATCAACAAAGAATGAGGTGGATTTATAAACTTGAGTATTACCATCCTTGCTAAAGAATCTACTCAAGATACTGTAATTTTTTAGAAAACAAGTAAAATAATCCACATCAAATTAAATTCACATGAATTTAACATCTAGTTAAAGGTGGGAAGGAATTCAAAATTCAGCACATTCACTTCAGGGCTGCTGCAAAATTATTTTTAGTCTTTACAAATATCTAGTCACTGTAATTTTAAGTACTCAATGTCAAAATTAAGAGCAGAAAAGGTTTTGGAGCAATTAATAATCAGAGCAAATGAAAAGAGATGTTGGATAAGTAACATTTGATTCAAACTAAAGGCAGCACTAGGTAAAAATCAGAGTTCATTTAAACATGGGTGAACAATACCAGGCTGCAAAATTGAACTGAAACAGAGGTGAAAAATTCAAGTAAATTGCAAACCAGTATTTCAGGGTAAAATTCAGTTCCATGTGCTTTCACACAGAACTGTGTATCTGCAGAAAACAAGCCACCACTGAACTTCGAAATACAAAAAAGGCTGATAAAAACATGCTTTACCCAGTGGTTCACCTCTTCTGGAGTAGAATTCTTAACCAGCAGACTATATAAAACATGTTAGTCTGGTAAAGCAAGCTCTCCCGCTTTCAACTAGAGTCAAAGTTTAGATCAGAGTTCTGCAGACTGTGGAATGTCATCATACTGACAACATCTGATGTGCAAGGGGTATGAGAACATGAGAAGAGCTTGTTCAAGGAGCCACGTTTTAACATGGAATTGATAAGAGGTAAGATTTTAATTTAAAAGCTGATATGGGTCTTTTTAAAGCTAGCTACCTATGAAAAGACTGCCACCAGTATATCCACAGATTTTTTTGATCTGACATTTTGAAATTCTCACCTTTAAGAATTACTTTTCAAAGAATGACAGTCTCTATTTTCAAACAGGGGCTGTTTTATCAATGTAGAAAATGCTGTTTACCTTCAGAAATGTTCATATTGTAAGATGGAGCAGAACAGTATCATATCATCCAATTTAAGTCAGCCACTAAGGTTCTCTTCCTGTGTTTCTAAGTAAGCAGCATGGAATTATTGTACTGTTATCATAATACAAACAATAGTATGAAAAAATAGTTGCTATCATCCATGCTGAACTCCAAGGAATGATTTAAGTCTGATCCCTCTGCCTCACCCTGCCCCAATAAACGCTCAAATACTTGATTTCAAGATGTTTCCTTGGAAAATGCACAAATACAGTACTACATGTACATTAACCCATCTAGAGAACCTTTGAAACATGTTTAATATATTGGATGGAAATGCTACAGATAAATAACAGATGCACCTAAGCAAATTATCTACAGGAAAATGTTAAGAGCAGAAAGCACTTCACATTCCACCAAAATTTATTCTGAAATCTGTGAAGGAAAGTATTAATTGTTAATGGTTATCTCCAAGTAGTTAAATTCTGCTTTTACTTATAAGGCTGTGTTTCATTTCCAAATTTTGTAACTACCTGAGCTAAGCTTTTTTACTAGGCTGGCTCTGATGACAGATTGAGAAGAGCTATGAGTAGAAGAGCCATGAGAGAAGAGCTCAGAGTACTGAGTTTGGTCTACCTTGGCGAAAATATTCTCTGTTTTCACATCAGTTACCTTTCATTCAACTATTCACTGGTTTGTTAACATGTCCCTCTGAGCAGTTCATAGTCCAGTAGTCTTTAACTTGGCTACACTTAACCTTTCTCCTACAGCCACACAATTTCTATCTGAAAAGCATCACTCTTCCTAAAGCACTCTTGTCTGGGAATCGCCAGTCTTTACCTGAGAGAGGTTCCATTGAGCTTGTTGGTTTTGTTGCAATCCATACTTATTTTGTGGTGGTGTGACCATCTGTCCCACCATTCCACCTTGAGGTCCAACGACAGTTTGAGGAAGTCCCATCACACCAGTTGGTGCAGTACCAGTAAATCCATTGGGCACTCCCACTCCTACCATCACACCTGTGCTTTGTCCCATCACTGGCACTGACTGCCCCATCATGTTTCCCATCATCCCAGTTGCTGCTGGCACAGGAACTCCCATGGCTGGAAAGCCTTGAAAGTGTGATGGTTGTGTGGTAAATGGCATAGAAGATGACCCCATGAACATACCTGTACCAGAGAAAAGAAGATTTCAGCAGAAGTCTTATGATTTTCCACCCCCATCCCATAAGTCAGAAATGCACCAAAATAATTTTAAGGATAACTTTGTCCATCTGTATGTCAGTGCTGCCAATTTAGCTTCTGGTAAAAGCAAAACATTACTTTAAAATTCTCAAAAGAAAGAAACTCACCACGAGATTAACTGCTAAGAAATTCTGGCATCCCCGTGATGAACCAAAATCTTTCAACTGCTGTATTGGAGGTCTTTGTGTTCACACAAACACAGCTAAACCAAAGCTCTGACAGTTCTGCAGGGATCCTGACAGACTGCTGCCTGCACACTGGAGACTCAGACCCTCACTGATTATTGGCATGGCAGAATCAGACTTTACAAATCTTTTAGTAAGTTGTACACTTGATAATTAGAACAGCTATAAATAAATTAAAATCACATCTATGTTTTTCTTTAGCATCCATATTACATTTCAGTAATTTTTCTCAGTTTTTTAAAAGCTGAAAATAAAAACCTTAATTTTAATATAGTTAGCAGGTATCTAACCTTAGCTTTATACTTGTAGAAGGTAACTTTTCTAGATAAAGATTAAGATAGGACTGCACAGAAACCTTCACAACATTATTTACCAGGAGCATTTTGCTGCTGCATTGTTGCTGTGCCATACAGTGATAAAATGGAGTCTTTGGAGAGTTGTTTCTTCGCTGACTCTTCGGATTTTGTTGTTTGCTCAGTAAATAGATCAAGATCCCCGGCTGCTCCAGACAAGGTGGCAGCTGCTGGTTTAGTGGAAGTGCTCTGGGAAATAAAAGACAAGACAGAGTATGAAATGAAACCAGCAAAAGATGATGCTAACTATTTGCTGTACAGCCTTGCCCCTCAACTTAATAAAACCTCATTAATTTACAGAAACTAAATTTAAGTAAATGAGAATTTAAAAATATGTGGTATGACTAAAGACAGAAAAAAGCAGTACAGGCAATATGGAAAGACCATCAGACCAGATGGAGGTCATAAAAAAAACCCTAAATCCTCAACCAGCTTCAGGGCGTATACATACAGATTATTCATTCTTGTTGCTTCTATGTTTTTCATCAGTGAGAAGCATAAATCAAGAGCTGGAGTTAGATTATGAAAAATAATTAGGAAATCAATAAGGAGATTAAAATTCACATCTCATTAATCCTCCCATAGGCAGAATAGATTTGAGAAGAGCTAAAACAAAAGATTAAGTGCTTTGAAATGTATCTTTGGAGAAAAGGCAAAATTTTGGTTATCTACTTCAAGTAATAAAATTTCTAAAATACATT